CATTCTTGATATGGCAGGCCTTGGTGAGCAAGAAAGTTAAGGAATATGTGGAAGAACATTTCTACTTTAAGCAACATGAATGGTGTAATGAATTTTCTTGTTGTGTACTGCACATACGGCTTTGAAATGCTTTTTGGCAAAGGCAACCACTACTGGGAAATACAAGCGCTTTTAAGGAACCCAGCGAATTGCAATGTCCTGCAGTAGTATCTCAAAACCACCACGACAGATGTATGCATGGAAAGTATTTTCTAGATTTCAGCTAACAAATAGCAGACACAGTGCTCATAGAACTTCTGGCTAAGGAATATACAAGTCCTGAATTACCACACCAATTTGGTTTTATATTACCAAGGTATACGCCTATTCTTTCAGTATTCAGCCTACCTGGCTGCCACAGAAAGCAAATCAATAGTTCTATTTGTTTACTGTAAAAAACAGCAAATCCTACAATTTTTAGCACATAATCATTTTAAGTGAGTAGTCATTAAAACTTTAACACTTGCTCATTGCTTAGGAATCCATGGAATTGATTTGTTTGACCACTAATGGCTCTGGCCACCCACATAATTAATGACAGGCTGACTTCTCTGCTCAATCCAAAGCAGCCCCAGCTAATTAACTAGTAAGTGGTTCTTCAAATTCAGCAAGAAAACTCATACTACCAAACCAATGAGCTTGTAGCAGTGTGAGAAGACTGAATGTTGGGAAACACCTTGCTTAGTTTACATAGAGACATCAATCATCTTTTTATTCTGATTTACTGAGCTCTAAACCAAGAGAGGACGGCTGCTTATCTTCCAGTGATTGTGACCTAACTGCAGTGCAATGTGGGCACCAGGAATGTTCCAAAAAGCAACACTACAAAAAGAAAAAAATGCTAATTTTCCCTAAGCTGGAAACAATTATGAGTTAAATGAAGGCAGAGGGGGGAAAAAAAGCAAGAGTGAAGGGAAACTACAATTTTATCTGAACACATTATTAAATGCTGAAAGCCACAGTCAATAAGCTTGCAAGAAGGTTGGAGTTTAAAAACTGAGTGTGGAAGTTGGCATTAGGTCTACAGAAATACAGTCACGAAAGACGATGCAGTCAACCTGCCAGAGGGCAAATCCACCCTCCACAGAAACCTGCATGGGCTGGAGGAAAGACCGACAGCAACCTGGGGAGGCTCAGCAAGGCCAAATGCGAAGCCCGGCTCCTGGGACACGCTCAGCCCTGAACGGGGACAGTCCCAGCTGCTGAGCTGGGGACAGCTCTGCTGGGAAGACCTCCGGGCGAGGAGAGCCTGAGGAAACAAGGCTTGTTGGTGGAGAGGAAAAGGCTTCGGGGGGGGCCTAAAAGCAGGCCCCCAGTACTCATGAGGAGGCTACCAACAGGACAGAGCCTTCTCGGAGATGCATGGCAAGAGAACATCAGGTTAAGCTCAGAAGAAGAAAGGGGGCACATCTGACTGCATATATGGAAAAAATTACCATGTAGATAACTAAGCTTTGGAGGATCCAACATCACTTGATGACAATCATAAGATAAACTCAAGACTGGCAGAACTGAAGCCTTACAAAATTAATTGCAATGACAATGAAATCACTTGAACGGTACCATTTAATGCACACAAATACAGGGATTCTATCCCTGAAAAATTAATTGAAGTCACACAAGATGGCAGACAGCTTCCTCTGTGAATGAAAAGGCCTTTTGATGAAAACCACCAATTAAAACATAGGTCTCCAGATCATTTCTGTAGCTGATAAGAAAGTAGGCTTTGGATATAGAAGTAGAGGGGCTAGCAAGCCTGAATATTGAGGTAATCTCTTCTTCTAGCATTTGTGAAAACGGATGTTTGATAACTGCCTAAATTTATTGTACAAAGTACCAAAAAGTTATTGACCTCTTGCAAAGTGTGTGGGGAAGAGCTATAGAATTACTAAAGCTGCATAAACAATCACATGTGCTTTAAAAAAAAAAAATCATTCATTTAAAAGTGACTTGATGATCGGTGGCCGAAGGAAGGTGCAAGGGAAGAGGTTCAGTAACTCACAGTTCCTTCCTCAAGCTGAAGGAGGCCCTCCCAAGGCTGGAAGCTGGAGCTGCACTAACTCAGATCTCAGCTAAGACACAGTTTTTAAAAGCAATTAATTGAACAACTGGAGCTCTGAATTTTCTATCATTTTTCCACCTTAGAACAAGGCTGCTTTCCCAAAGACTACAACTACGTGCTAAGGCACAAGCCATAGATTTAATGCAAAAACTAAGAGGTCCCTTATGCAGGAATAGAAGATAACTGTGCCTTCCAGCCTGATCTGCAATACAAACATTCACACTACAACTGTTTTCCTAGAGTCAATAATGATTTCATATCTATGATGTGACTTCTTCCAGCATCTGCAAGGCAGCAGTCATTTTTTATGACTAAATACCAGTCTACAAAACTGAACAAACTCCAGTTTCACATTTTCAATAACCAGAGGCAGGCTTCAGATTAGCCGTTAACCTCCCAAGCAGCCACACTTAGCCTGGAATGTCAGCAAAGCGATCCCAGGATTTGATATCTGAAATGACATCAGTGAAATACCGAGTCGTCTGCTCCAGGAGAACCACTGCTCGATGTACATTTGTTTTGGCTGTTAAAAGCCATGTAATACCACACTCTCAAATGACCAAAATCATCTTACCGTACCTGTTAGACACAGATGTTTGTATATAAAACTATTTGTATATAGATGTACTTGCACATCTCTGTATATAGACTATACATGCGGGTATATATATTACATATACACTATTTGTATAATTGTATTATACACATAAAAATGTCTCAGGGAAAATTCATAAGCATTCCTGTATTAATCATACCGTGCATTGTAAGTATTTTCTTAAGAGACAGGACCACAGCAGTTTCACTTCACAACAAAGCGCTTACAACACTGTATGACACCTATGTCCAAGAGAGACAAAAACTAACTCACGCTGCAATTGCATCCTTTGAGGCTAATTGTAAAAGCAGCCATTTCTCTCCATTGCATTATTTATTCTCTCCAGAGAAGCATTATTGGTTTTATCTTGATGTTGCTGTAAGACATACTATGGAAAATCCAGCACTACCTGGTGCTGTCACTATCAATGAAATACCTAAACCAAATTCAGATAACCGCCAAAAAAGTTAACATGGCAGAACATGAATTTTAACAGATACCCGTGGAGACTACTTAAGAGTTTACTAAATGAAAAAATGTTCCTTCCAAAAATATTTTAAATTTAGAAGACTGTCCAAAAAAACACTCAATTTCCCTTTCACTTCTTCCACAGCTGCTTTTATTGGAGGAAAAAAAAAACCAACCCCACAACCTTCCATGCTATTAGTGCAGCAGTACAAATTCTGAGTGGTCACCTCTCTGTTTTTGAGGGAGGTGTGTTTTTAAAAACAGGTAACATTCTTCCTTTCTGTGGATTCCCAAGATTCCCAATTTCTAAATGAGGCTGAGAGACACCTGACAGCGATTTCTTAGCATTCCGTCACTCTTTGGGAAAAGGACATTACTGTCTGTCTGGTCTGAGGTTTAACAGCTTACTCGAAGCACTGGTAAGGCTCACCGACCATAGCCTCCACACATCTGACACAAGACTGGACCAGTGCTACAGGAGCTTCTCTCCTTACAAAAGCCTACCCAGACACCAGACAAACCGCTCTCCCCCTGGCAGTTAGAAAACAAGTGCCAAAGTCAACAGTCAGCAATAGGTGTGCAGCCTCACCATTCCGAGAGCTACAAATTTCCCTGGCAAGATATTAGCGAATAATTCAGTCTAACAATGCAAACACAGAAAATGATTCAGCCTGCTACCCTCACTATGCTGGTTTTGTTTCTCAGGCTGTATCCCCTCTGTGACTGTTTTCAGTAGTTTTATGGCCTGGAAGGCTTCCTGGCACTCTTTGCCAAAATGATATAACAAAGCCATTAAAGAAAAACCCCTCTCACAGAGTTAAGTGTCTACTAAATTTTTTTCACCTTAGGCTTGCAGTCTCATCACAGCCCTGCAAACACTGACAAATACCAGAATAGCTACGAGATCTCATTAAACAAGAAAAAATTAGCAAGATGAACTTGCAGTCCTGACGTTTCCTCTTGAAAAAACTAGATACATCAGGTGCACTGCCTGATTTTGCATTTTCATTGAACTCTTCAAATCAGCATTTACCTGGAAACTTTCTTCAATCTTTAAGGTTAACTTCAACAAAAGTATTGGAAGAGTTTAATTAAAACAAGAGATCTTGAACGTGCCAAGTGTAACTTTGATATGCTTGAGGTATGCATCTACGTAACGTAACACAACACGACTTCAGAGATCCTTACAAGTGGGAAGTTAGCACTTTGTTCACCTCTGCCTCCATGCTCCATCTCAGTTGAGAGGTGCATCTCACAGATGTTCATCAGGCCACTAATCAGTACCATGTTTTGCTTTGCCCAGTCCATTTTACACACAGAACAAATAGGATCAGTATAAAGAAAATAAATTTTCCGCTCCTGTCTTTCAAACGTGCCCAGATTTCTCCTGGCTTAATAAAAGTATGCAACATGTAAGAAAAAAGAAAGAAAAAAGTTGCATTTTGAAAAAGACAGTGAATGATGAGAACTTTCTGCAGGCCTTTTAAGGCAAAGGCTACTCATGTAACAGCGCCAAACCAATTCACTGCCATTTGCTGCACAAACATGTACGACTTCAGGGAAAATCTCAGAAACAAGAAGGAAAAGATGATCTATTCTAGGGATATGACTACATTATGGTCAACAATTCTAGTATATGGTGAATGACACTACTGTGCCGAGTTTACTTTCCCAGATAAAGCACATTTCGTTTGAATAACTGGTTACTGGTACAGTGAGTCACTCGACTGCCTGAAGTACAAGCTCGAATGCTTTAAAAGGACTGACTGGGAATCGCCAAGTACAGTACGTGTATTTGTTTAGGAACAACATGCTTTAAATAAACTGCTGACTCACCTTGTCACGCAAATGATGCTCTGCAGCCTCAATATTCAAAGGATCATCAAAATTCAAAAGATCCTGGAAAAGAAACAGAGAACGTTATAGAGTTCCCACTCACTGCATCATACAAGGAATCCAAAGCCCTAATAAACAAGATAATGAAACAAAGCAAACAAGACCAGCAAGCGTAGTGCCATTTTCTCACTACCTTGATAGGTATCCCTGCCAAAGGTAGATGCAAATGAGTTTGATGATTGCAAACCAAATCACAAGTCAACTGAAGGACAACAGCAGCATGCCACACACAACCCCGTGACACTTCTCTCTGGCAGTGATACATTTCTGTTTGAAAACTGAGACGGTTTAAAATCAAATTTTGAAGGAACATTCAAAGCTTCAAAAGGCACAATTCCTGTTGTTTTTTGTTCAAGGGTAAAGTAAACCCTTAAAAAAAACCCTGCAAACAGCCTGGTGATAAAGCAGGAAGAGCTTCCTCAATACCATCTCCATAGAAAAGCAATTTAATTCCCTCCATGAAGAAACTACATAGCCTGGAGCCTGACAAACAGGAAAGTTTTAGTGCCATGGGAAAAGCAGGGCTGAGAGGAACCAGTGTGTGAAGACTCCAAAAGCTAATGGCACGTGGGGCCAGGGAGCAGAAATAATCAAAATAAATCTCAGGTCTGTCAGTTTAATCTCAATAAATATTAACTTCAGAAGGAGAGAGTCTAGGGTTAAAACCAAAGGAACCCTGCTAAAGGAAGAATTCTGATAAAAAAAATACCACTGTATCAAACACCCCCCTATTCTGCCTGCAGCCCAGATCACTTCCCCCTATTTAAGGCTAGCCTGTGACAGCAGTGAAATGCCATCGTTTCACTAGTGTGAAAGGCTTGTGTCACTCTCCAGCTTGTTTTCAAGCAGCAAACCTCCCATTTCATTCAAACCAGGACACCAATCCACCTCGTTTTCACTTACTTTCTTCAAGCAAACCCCGCAAAAATCTGCAAGGCCAGTAAAATCCAATGCCAGCTTTACAATCATTTATAAGAAGCTGGGTGGGAGAGGAATCCAAGAGGCAAGCTGGGAAGCACAGCTCTTACTGGCCATGACAAAGCCCCGTGGTCTCCGACGCGTGACCATCGCTCTTTGCGGCTGTTTGCCCAACAGGTTATTTTTACGCACAGTTCTGCCTCTGAAGGCACTTCTTTGTACCTCCAGTGGATTTCGCTTTCTTCCAGTTACTTAGCATGCAGTGGGAGACTAACTGTGAAATGCAATTACTCTTTGTTGAAAAGGCAAATGCTCTCCAATCTTCTACATCAATTTACTACCAAAGAAGTTGTTGAAACAAATCAAGCCTTCGGATGTCAGGAAATCTTGGGAGATTGTAGCCAGTCACTGGCTTGGTCTATGCAAGAGATTTTAGAAATGCACCATGATCCTGATGATAGGGCTGGGAGTGCAGCCACTGCTCTCCCCCGAAAACAGGCTGGAGCTAGCGAAGCCCACAGCGATGCTCCCCATCCAAAGCTTTTTACAGCCTCCTCTGTACACCCTCGCTGGGGGAGTTGCCTCCGGAGTCGATGACAAACGGGGAGACCAAGTTAGTGCCCGCCTTTGCTTCCTCCTGACCTTCCTGCCCAGCAGCAATGGCTGTGGAAGGGGACCATAACCCTGGACTCTCTGAAATTCAAAGGCAGCTTTGTACAATAAAGACTTAGCCCCTCTCTGCTTTTAGGGCAAAAGCAGCTGTTGCCTCCTGCCTGCCTCTTGCAGTTTCCTGCCCTCTCCTCCATTTTCAAGTTGCTCCTGTAATTACGAGGCACAGGTTTCTTGCTCCTGTCAGTCTAAGCAAAAGAGTGAAAAGCGGATCCCTGAGCAAAATGGTATAATTTCTGTGACAAGTCGCGGTTTACGCAAATTCTGTTGGTGGCTACCAAGACCCCTGAACAGGAATGTAAGCATCAAAACAGGAATGAGACTGCAGGGCAGTCATTAACTCCTAAACACAATTTTTAAAAAATGTAAGACCAACATTATTCCTTCTCAGAGCAATATGAATTTCTATTTCCCGCAAACCAACAGAAGGCATTTCATACTGTGTGGATGATCTCAAGTAGTTTGTTACCAAAGTATCCCATAATAGATCTGGAACCAAAAGTAAAAACAATGTACGAAAAAGCTGGCATTTCAGACCATCTGTAGGAGTCTTGCAGTTATACAAACAAAAGCACAAACCGATTTCATACTTGTACAACAATCACTGAAGCCAACGGAAATAATGACCTTAGGTTTAACCGGCAACAGACAGGGTTCACATTAGGTGATGCTGAAACCAAACCAGGCAGGAAAAAGGAAAGTGGATATGCAAAATACTAATTTACTTACAGTAAATAAAGAGTTTAACCCCCAGACAACATCCTGCAAAGGAAAAGCAGAGTCAGTTAGGCATGCATTTCAGGCATTTTGAACACATTCACATAATTTATTCTTTTATTAATCCATGAAATTACTGGAAATCAAATCTAGATGAAGGTTGATGTTTTACTAATATAAACCAAAATATTGAAAATGCTTTCCCATTTCATGGATGCTTGATATTTAGAAGTTACCAAAACCCAAATACTGCATATTGAAATACAAGTTCAGATCTTTCTGCGTATATAGGAGCCTTATTCCTGTTGCTTCTCTGCTCAAGGAGACGAATAATACCTTAGTACATGCCACCAACTGCACTGCTTAGTTCAAAGGGTGCGTACAAAACTTAATTCAGCAATCCACTCTTAAAACAAAAAAATTAAAATGGTGTCAGACAAATATTTGAAACTGCCTCAAAATATCAGAGAAGAGAACTTTAGGTGTAGTATGAGTACAGAGAAACACCATTCTTATATGAGCATACGTCTCAAATCATTTTAGTGCCTTTAACTATCTCTTTAAACACACTTATTGCAATTCCTGCAAACAGAAAACGTCAGGGAAATCTGCCTCCAAATGGTGTCATCAAACACAGCTTATTCTGGGGTGGGCATCTCCAGAAGGGTTCCACTAGCACTGACCTAAGAGTCCATATCCTGAGTTACAACCTTCAGAAAAGAAAGTTGCACAAGAAAAGAAAATGCACGAGATGCAAATATTACAGAAAGAGCCTTAAAAACATCACCTACCACCAGTTCTGAGGCTAAGCTTTTCTACCTAGAAGAAAGACTATCTTCTTTAGTAGCAGCATAACTAAGCTACCCTACTGCAAAACCCCACCGAAGTCTGGGCACTGGAGCTCGCACCTGCCAGACAATTGGGTAAGATCAGCATTGCACCTCCTGTCCTTACAGCCTGCTAGCACTTGACTGCCTACCCATGAACACCACACTGCCTGATTTCCAGTAGCAGGACAAACACTGCACATTAATTCTTTCATGGCTAAAATATATCTTTCACAGTGAAGCTAAAACCTGAAACTAGAAACTTCTTATCCACAGCAAAGAACTTCCATAAACGAGCATATTTGGGTTTGTTTCCTGTTCCAGGCCCTCTGCCGAGTGGCAGACCACAGAAATTCATAACCCTTCAGGACGTTATCCAATTATGCCCTAATAAAAAAGGCACAATGTCAGCATTATCTGGACAACAGCCTCTCACGATCCAATTTTCCTTTGAACCTGCACAAACAACCTACTCTGTTTATCTGCTTTAAATAATGTCAATCTGCCCAGCAAAGATGATATTGTCACTGTTTTTAGTTTCAGCATCTTCTCCTAATGGAGCTTCTGAAATCATCAGATGTGGCAAAGATAGCCACTCTGTCAAACGTCGCATCACCTGCAATGGCAACATAGACATAAACTGCAAAAAGGACACACTCCAGACACCTAAGGATTACAGTTATCCGTACATTTATAGACTATAAAGCAGTCATCCCCACCCCCAGACGGCCATCCTGTCAGTTCCTTGGCACGTATGAGAAAAATGGACTATTCCAAATGATGGATGAAAGTCATCGTCCTACCCTTTAAGTTCTGTGCTTGTTCAACTACAACTACTGTCACAGAAACTGGGCATAGCAGAGGTTAGCAAACACGGTATTCAGGAAACCTGTATTAAGTAACCCTGGGGAAAAACTATTTGCACAGTGCAGTGGTACTAGAGAAAAAAAAAATAAGACAAAGTCACTGATTACAGGAGGATTTCAGTGGTGTAGAGAGACTGAAGGGCAGGAATGGGCATGAGGGTCTCGGCTTCCACTTCACTCTCCTGCATTCAGGCATGAGAGGGTGTGCAGCACAGCGCAGGCTGCCCCAGCATCACCCCTGCCGGGGTCTGCTCCGCTCCGATGCCCCTGCGGACGCTGCCCCAGTGCAGATGCTGCCGGAGGACCGACCAGTGCAGCGTCTGGGACCAGGGACGGCTGAGAGGGCCTCTGTCCCCAGACACCACTCTGCCCTAGCAGATGATCCAACGCCTGAAGTTCGGGAGCCCCTTCCACTGCTGCCCTCAAAGGCTGTATTGTCCTTCGGGGAGGCAGAGTGAATGTCTTGGGGGTGTTAAGAATTTCTTGCATCTGATTTTAACCCACTGTGTGTTTCCCACAACCTTGGATAATGGGACCTTACTAAGCATGGTAATTTGCTTTCTTCCACTTGAAGAAGCAGGAATAAATTAACTTTTCAAGGGTCATCACACATCTACGCTGTGTGACAGCAGACTGTAGCTGAAGACTGTGATGCAGAATTACAATACCGAGCATTAAAAAACATCCCAAAGAGGTATGAGGAGCTCACACTAGCACACTGGGGACTGTCCATTTCTAAACCCTGCCTGAACGCCAAAACAGCATTCACAGGGTTTCAAACTGTTCACAACTTTCAGCCACTTACCAGCATGGCTAAATAGAAACAAACAAAAGAGCAACTCAATCACATTGATTCTGAAATCCTGAAGAGACCGCCTTCTCTTTACATTTAACAGTGCTGAAGCCCCCAGTCTCCCAGAGCCCCCCACCAGGACACTTGCAGGTTGTCTCTCCAGACAAAACAGCTTCTGCTCCAATACAAGCATCAACGAGCCACACCTTGCACAAGTAAATGCTGCAACTCAAAAGAGAAATGTAAGTTATATCAAATTATTTTCCCACTCCTTAAACACCCAGTTTTCAAGTTTACCTAAACTGCTCCCAGATTCTCATTTGCTGAACCCCTGTTTTAAGACTTCAGGACACGACTCATTCAGGCTGGCTTTGCACAGAGTTCTACCAAAAACAAAACACAAAAAAAAAAAAAACACCCCACAAAAAAAATTAGCAGAAAGCTCTGTAAAGCTATGTTTTCAGACTACTACACATTTTCACAGCCATTCTAGACAACAAAAAGCATAAAAGGTTTATTATTACTACTGAATAACTTGTGTGAAATTCTTAATATCGTTTCTGATGTTTCCACCTATTCAAGTTTTATGATTTGCTGGATTGATTTTGCGCCCTTGCATGGCTCCATGAAAAACAACGCTAAATTACTACCAGAAGGCAACGTTTTTTGTAACGAGTTTGAGGCTAGCCTAGGATATTGAGAAAGGGAAGTGGGATGGAACAGATGAGCAAGAGTGAAGCAAGTATTTCATATTTGAAAAACCTGACTCCGTTGTATTGCAAAAATAATCAATTTGCATTATTGACTTCAGCAGAGCTGCTTGCTGCATGCAGATAAGCAGTTGCCTGAACACTTGCTTCACAGTTTTCCTGACAAACTAAAAGGATTTGCAAGCCACTGAAGATCCTGTCGTATTTAACAGTTCAAAAACTTCTGTTTTCTTTTAATGTAATAAAGCATCATCCTTGGCTTCAAACATTTACTGAACTTCTGGCTTTAATACTCTGAAAACAGAAAGTTAATCCTATGTACAAGAATTTTTAAAGGTTATCTTCACACACAGGAGCAGGGCAGATGTCACCTTAAAATGGCACTAACACACACCTTCATGCTGCTCCTCTTCAATGAGAGGCTCTACTTGCAAAAGGAGAATTAGACTCGGGGATCTGCCTGTTCACATGGCAAATACCTGTCACGGCTCTTTCCTTTATAATGCTTCTTTTCGTCTACTTTCTTCTACGTGCTTAACATCAAAGCTAGAGAGTACAAGTACACCCGCTACTGAGGGGTAACCTCTGAGCAAAACTGAGGTCCTCTTGCACTTTTTGCAACAAAGCGGCGCGGTCCGCTCAGCATAGACCCTGCAGCATCCTCCAAAGCACTTTACCTGGTTTCTGCTCCAGCTGTGCCCATGTAGGCCCCCCTCTCCACCACCTGGCTTCCTGGAGGCTTTGCACCCGCACAGACGTCACTCACAAGGTTAGACGCCTTTGTGAACCCACTGCAGGGCTCCAGTAAGCAAGTGTTTTTAATGCCCCTCCACTATGCTAGTTCAGAAGACTCAAGTATCATACTTGAGCTAAAGGGCAGTACCTGGTTAAATCCACAGCAGAAGAGGGCATAACGAAGGAAACACGTTCTGCTCCTTGGCACTGACACTATTTTGAGCTCAAGCATGGAGAAGTCAACACAAGCAAGTCAGAAGATCAACAGACTGTCATAAATAACCCTTTGTAACCACCCCTTTTTGTTCTTGAGTATTTTTGTGTTGCATCTGAGTGAAAAGTTACACTAAAACCCTGCCCACAGATTTATTTACGGCATGCCAAATGAGGAAGAAGAAAATCTGCCACCGCAGCAATGTTTAAAGTTCAAGAGCAATGAAAGAAAATGCTAAATACAGCTTTTGAAATAGCCTCTCCTGAGGCTAGAGAGTCTCAAAGAGTTCCATTTGCAGGAGGTCCTAATTCAGTTAGCCACCACATCTTCCCAAGTGGCAGTTCTCACAACCACTTCACAAAAGCAATGCCATTGAAACCATGTAACAGACAAGTGCTTAGCTATGCTTGCTGATGTTTGGAAATAGACCCACACAGCACTTCTTTTGAAGGGAGAGTAAACACATAAATTGTAAATTAAAATTTTCCTTTAACAGGCAAAGTATATTTAATATGTTCTTTTAAGCTGCGAACAAGCCAGACAAAAGCAGTTAATGAACTTCCAACCAAAGAAACTTCTTTAGAGATCCAAGGAGCATTTCTTATCTGATAGACTGATTAAAATAAAGCTCACTGCTAAACCATTCTTTATATACAAACAATTTAACTCTTTCAGATCACAGAAGGAGCAGCAGTCATTTATACAAGAGGATGTCTGAAGCAAATGTTTCTTTTGTTTTTTGTTTTTTTCAAAGAGACTGAAGCAGTAACTCCAATACAAGTGCCAAACTTTGTATATCAGAGTTGGAAAAGGGCTTGACATTACAACTGAAAACTCCGCATGCTGAAAGTCAGGCCACTGCGTGGCTGTCTCCTGGGGCAGCTCTCCGCTGTCCTGTCT